ATATATTTTTCAAATTTGAATTGCCATAATTGATTATATTACCAGTATAATTAATTATGATAGAGAAAATCATTTTTCTATTTCTGGTGCATCATAATTAATTATGACAGTGAAAAATATCATGTTATGAATTTTATCACACTTGTGCTTTGAAGGCTTATGCATAATATTACTTCATCAACTTGTACCTCTATATCCAGTATTCTAAGACTCTATCTAGTTTTGAGGAATCATCTTGGGCTTGCTTGAATCATCATCTTTATCAAAAACATATCTTGGGCATGTAGGGAAATGTTTCACATTGTCACCTACGTCATAAATTCAGTTTGTCCTTAAATTCATCTTGAATGGTGTTGACTTGAATGTAGTTGACTTGAATCATCATCAAAATCATCTCTTGGGAATGTAGAAATATTTCCATCAACCTCTCCCTTATTGCTTTCAGTAGTAATATTTTGTAAATAAGATTGATGAAAGAAAAACAAGGTTTGAAAAAGACAGATTATAAATGAAAATGAATAAAAACAAATAAAATTTTGATTTTTTATTGGCAAAATAAAAATAATAAAATATTGAAAAAGTATATCACACACCAAAATATATATCTACAAGCAGAGGACGTGAAAATTGTTCAATATCTTGTTCGATTAAGAAAATGTAATAAAATCAGATATTTTAAATATTATATTACGAACTATCGTATTATTTTTATAATTATATATAATGATTTAAAAAAGTCTAAAATATTATTATGTACTAATATTTTATTAGGAATATTGTTATTTAAAAATAATTAATATTACTTTCACCTGGTCTTGACTATTGAAAAGATAAAATAATATATTATTAATAAATAATAAATAAATGTAAAAATATAAAAAAATATAAAAAATAGATATTAAATTTATAAATATACAAACATGTATATTTAATAATCAAATATATTTAATAATCATTAAATTTGACAAGGTCAAAATTATAAATACAAATATAAATTATAACATTTTAAGAATAATTATAAATTTGTGATGTGAAAATTATAAATATTAATATAAGTTATAAAACTTTGAGAATACATCATCACTCCCATCTTCCAACAAGCTTTGCCGATTTACTGCAAATTATCTAATAAACATTGCATAATCATGGAAAAGTAGAATTAACGAACACCTTGTTCACTTCATTTCAATAGATTGAATCTTTTAAATAATATGGGAGCCTTATAATAAAAAAATACATGTTTTCTAGTTATAAGTTAGTTAGGCTGGATTACTATATTGGAAATATTATATATTATATGTTTTAAATTATGCATCATCTTCAATTTATTAGCATCAAATTTTCAATTAACTTGCAAAAGATAGGACGAGGGCATAAAATATATACCCCCACAACTAAATATAATGGAAGAATATTGCCTTTGCATTGACATCCTTTACAAAACTAATTATTGATTGATACTAATCACCTACACCTATTCATTTAATTGATACTAATTAATATTTTTTTAATAAATTTTAAAGAGTTTCTTTTTCTTTTGCATTTATTTATTTTATAAATTGTTTGATTAAAAAATTAACAAATATTATTAGACAAATTTTATTATAAATTTTATTAACTTTAATGGTTAACATTTTTAACGTTTTATTCTCTAAATGTTATGAGGCAAATTTTATTATAAAAAGGATAAAAATATTTAAGTTAAGCTAGGGAATCACTTAACAAACTTTTAAAATGAAAAAATTATAAGATTTTGAAGTTGAAATCTATTTCTAAAACATCTAGATAAACAATTTTTATTTAGAGCATTATACGTTGACAATTTCTACATCGTTTAACAACCCAAAATATTAATATAATAATAAATCTTAATGTTATATTAATATAACCGATTGTATCTCAATGTGAACAAACTTTTTCTGTTTTATTCATTAGATTTTTTTAATCGATTGCTAAGAATTTTTTAAACAGATTTAATAACATTTCAAACCATATATAATTAATAAATTTTGAATTTTATTTGATATTATAAATGATTTTTTTCCTTTTGAATATGTAACTTCCAAAAGTTACGAAACTGGCCTTTAATAACAAATTACGAGAATTTGCAAAAATACAAAGTTTGTAATTTGTTTTTATTCTTCTATTTTGCAGAGAATTAAATAGTTTGTATTAGGCATGACAATGGGCCGGGAGTGTTTTGCCTCCCGATCCCCGTGTCCGACATTTTTAACAATCCTCATTCCCATCTTTGATTTCTATCGGGTTAGAAATTAATTCTCCATTCCCGTCTTCGTTGGGTTTCGGGTTCCCGTCTCGTCTCCGATCTATATTATTTTTTAAAAGATAATTACATTTATAATAAATTAATTTTACTATCTATTTTTTATATATAAATAAATATTTATAATTTATAGTTATTATTAATTAAATATACATTTTAATTTATTATATTTATATTAAAATATGTATATAAAAGAAATACTTAATTATTTTTTATTTATAACATTATTATTATAATATTGTATTCAAATATTTGAATACTTATAACATTATTATTATAATATTGTATTCAAATATTTGATTATATATATAAGTTAATTCATTTTTAAGTTGTTATTTAAAAATATGAAATATATAGTTTATAAGGAAATATTTAATAAGTTAATTCTTATTCAATTAGTTCGAAGTAATAAAAGTTTAAATTATCAATTCCTTTAATCCTTTAAAATACAATTATTTTATTAAGATAAAATTTGATATATGATAAATAAGAATAATAAGATAAAAAATATGACATAATAAAACCTAATAAATATAAATTATAAATAAAATATTATTAGTTATTACTAAAATTTATGTAAAATATTTTGAAAAAGATAAAGAATAAAAAATTTAACTTTGTGTTCATCAAATTTGTTGAAAAGTTTGAAAAAAAAAACAAATTGATGGGAGAGATGAAGGAAATGTGAAAAACTGAAAGGTAAGAAAAAGAATAATGTAATAAATTAATTGATATAAAAGATTAAAAAAGATAAAAAAAATTAAAGTGTGTAGAAGAAAAAAAATTGGTAAAATATAAAAAAATGACCTTATATGTAATAGAAAAAGAAAAAAATACTTTTAAAATATGAATATTTTAAAATTTAAATTTAAATATAAAGTCGGAGTCGAGGTAGGGGTTGGGGTGGAGATTGCATTACCCATCCCTGCTCCCGACTTTTAAAGCGGAAAAACTCGAACATGTCCCCGCCTCTAGTCAACTCGGATTTTTTCCGTCAAACTCGGAAGGAGGGCGGGCCGGTCTCCAGTAATACGTGTTTAATTGTCATGTTTAGTTTGTATGATCTATAAGATCTAGAAAATATTTTGTATGATCTATAAGATCTAGAAAATATTATCTATTGACGTTGTAATACTTATTATATATATATATATATATATATATATATATATATATATATATTTACTAATTTTTCTTAAATTGTGTAAAAAAATATTTTTAAACATATTCAATAACATCTAAATATAAGTTTGTTTTTAGTTTTATTTTTAATTAATTTTAAATTTTATTTAAAATATATTGAATTATGTATATATCTAATATAAGAAAATCATATGGACGTTGGAAAGTCTATTTATTACAGCTAATATAAGTTTATTTTATTTTATTTTATTTCTTACTTGTCGTACAAGCTAAATTTGTGGCGGAGGTGGGTTTAATTACTAGTTTAAAATTTTATATATATAGTATAGTATGAATACCTAAACAACTCTCAGCAGTTAAAAATAAATATATTATGAATTTTAAGTAATTTTTTTAATTTTAAACAATTTAATTATAAAACTTAATAAAATATTTAATTTTATTTTTGAACATTTGTTAGAAATTTTTATTAGAGATGTTCTTATAATAGAAAAAAAAACAAATGAATTTTTTTTATAGAAAATATCTCTTATATTTAAAAAGAAAAAAATAAAAGCAAAAATAATAAATTTATAGGTACAAAAATGTTTTCTTGACTTTATAATTATTTATCTCAATCTGGCTTAATCTATAAAATAAATTAAAATTTTTAATCTAATCTTATTTTATATTAGACTAACAAACTAATTTTATCTTTATTGAAATTATTTTAAAAAATATAAATATATTTATACTAAATTAATTAATTTAAAAATATTTAAATAAAAATATATTTTTTAAATTTAAATTTTATTAATAAAATTAATTTTTATTTAAAATATAATAATTTAATATATAAATTATCATGTAAAAAAAAACTTAAAAATTTATTCTTTATTATTATTTATTACTAACTTATAAATTTAAAATAATAATTAATATTAATGATTATATATGTTTATTACTAACTTATAAATTTAAAATAATAATTAATATTAATTATTATATATTAACATAAGTAATTGTTAAGAATTTGTTTTTATATTCATTTTTTAAAATAAGTGAATTTTTTTAAAATTAATTTATAATATATATATATATATAATAAAATATATTATATTGAAAAATAATTATTATTCTATAATATAAATTAACTTATAAACTTATAGAATAATCATATTTAAGTTCATCTAAGCCATAATCTAAATATGTCTTATTTAATTTAAATTATACATTTTTTATTTAATCTAATTCATTTTTCAACTTTTTTAATAATCGAATTAAATTTATTTTAATATCTTTATATATAATTGATTGTATTAATATAATAATATTATTTAATATTATATTATTATTATTTTTAATAAAATGTATTGGTTGTAAAATATTACGTCATTTGTAGAAAATAGAACATTATATTAATATAATAATATTATTTAATATTATATTAATTCCTTTTTTTCAATAAAATGTATGGATTGTGAAAATATGACGTCGTTTGTAGAAAATATAACATGAGAAGCAGAGTTAGATAGACAAGTAAAATTGTGAGAAAAACGTAAACAAAAAATCTTGAGCCATTGAAGAGATGACCATGAACCCATCGGGAACTTCACTTCTTGTACCATCAGTTCAAGAGTTGGCTAAACAGAATTTGTCAACTGTTCCTCCGAGATACGTTCAACCTCAACTTGAAGACAAGATCCTCATCTCACAAGAAGCTCATAGTACCCATCTGATTCCAGTTATTGACTTGCACAACTTGCTTTATGCACAATCTGGAACTTCAGAATTGGATAAGCTTCACCTTGCTTGCAAAGATTGGGGATTCTTCCAGGTCTCTTTTATTTCCCTATCTGTAAAAGTAATTCTTAAAACTATATATAACACACGCACGTCTTAAATTTCTGTTGGTCTCTGCATTCTACACTTTTGATGAGTATAAAAGAAAATGATATATATATATATATATATATATATATATATATATATATATATATATATATATATATATATAATATGTAATTTTTTAATTCTTTCAGCTGGTAAACCATGGAGTCAGTCCTTCCTTAGTGGAGAAAGTAAAGTTGGAGATTAAGGACTTCTTCAACCTTCCCATGTCAGAAAAGAAAAAGTTCTGGCAGACTCCACAGCATATGGAGGGTTTTGGACAAGCATTTGTTATGAGTGAAGACCAAAGGCTTGATTGGGCTGACCTTTACTACATGACCACTCTTCCAGAACACTCAAGAATGCCCCATTTATTTCCAAAGCTCCCTCTTCCTTTCAGGTTCTCTCTCACTCTATCTTTTGTTTTTGTATGTGAGATGACATCTCAAAGGGTTTGCATGCCTCTTTGTCATGCAGAGACACTCTAGAAGTTTACTCACAGGAAATGAAAGATCTGGCCTTGGTTATTATTGGTCATATGGGAAAAGCTTTGAAGATAGAAGAAAAGGAAATACGTGAGTTGTTTGAAGATGGAATACAACTGATGAGGATGAATTATTACCCACCATGCCCAGAGCCAGAGAAGGTTATTGGCCTCACTCCTCATTCAGATGGAATTGGACTTACTATTCTCCTTCAAGTCAATGAAGTAGAAGGGTTACAGATAAGGAAAGATGGCTTGTGGGTTCCTGTTAAACCCTTGCCTAATGCTTTCATTGTCAATGTTGGAGACATATTAGAGGTAATATTGATTAATATTTCATTCTATCTTAAAGTATTTTTATTTTCTTTATATTTTTTTACATTATAGGAGAGATTTTTAGTTATGTTATTTTAAGTCTTTGAGATCTAATTAAGTTTAGACATCAATACAGAGGAGATAAATTTACAATGGAATAATGAATCTACATAAATTTAAGTGAAACTAAAGATATAACAATTTTTTTTTTTCCAAAATAAAGATAAACGTCTTTCATATCTCTTCTTCTTCCTCTCGTACACATTCAGACATATTCAAGTGGATCTCAATGATGAAAAAAAAAAATAAAAAATATCCCCTAAGTCACACATGAGCCATCATCACATTTGAGATGACCCTCCCAGCACTTTCACAAACTCCCGTTGATTCAGTGCACGCAAACCAATTCCCTTATTGTCTCTCTCCACAAATCTCTCCATCTAAATTTCATCATGTTTTATATCCAGTCATTGGGGATAACAAAATAGACCTGCATGTCTCATCCCATTATGGCCATCCCATTTCTAATCATCAAAAATAGAGGCGGTCCGTCGGTCATAGATAAGATACATTATAGGTACTGTAGGCCCACTCGTCCTGTTTTAGTCTATTTTGCTTTTAGTATGCTAAAAATAATCTGGGTTAGTCTATTTTTATAGAGAGGTTACGTTATAGTTATAACGAACTATAAATTTCAGCTTATCATTGGCAACCCGTTATATTTTTATTTTATTTTATTATTTTTAAATTAAATTTTTTAATAAATTTAATAATAAAATTATTATTATCAACCTTCAAAATATATATATATATATATATATATATTAAGTTAATAATATAAATTGATATATTATTTTAATAAATTATATTTTAAAACAATTAAATTAAGATAAAATTTACATAATAATAAATATATATATCATAAAACTTTTTGAATTCTTTTAGTAACGTAAGCTTAAGTAATTATAAAATTTTTTAATTTTCTTAATATGAGATATCGAGACTTTATGAATTCTCTTTATGAGACATTAGGATTTTTAGAATTCTTTTTTTATAAATCTTTATATTATATATTGTCTTTCTGACCCTTTGTATTCTATCACAATATAAAAAAATTATTAGTAAAGTGAGCCGCGAGCTTGGCAAGGCAGACCAAGATGAACTGAAAGTACTAACCTGGTTAACCATATTATGGTGGGCTGACGAGTCAACCTTTGCCATTCCTATTAGCAGATTAGATCTATGCTATATATATATATATATATATATATATATATATATATATATATATATATATATATATATATATGAATAATTTTTAAATTTTTATTGATTAATTAATATTTTTATTAGATTAATTGAAAAAATTATTATATTTGCATGTTAAAATAATTAATTATAATCAATAATCTAAACTTAATTTATTAATATTGATAATTTAAATTATAATATTATAGTATATTCATGTATTTTAATAACATGGTAAAAAAATATAATATTTTTAATTATAATATTTTTTATTTTAATATATAACTATTTTTTAAAGTTGGCTAGCGAGTCAACTCGCCCTATCCTATTCTTGGTTCGTCTAGTTAGCGGGACAAACTAAAATAAGTTCACGAACTAAAATTATCAACATGTCTCGCCATTTTTGAGGTGAATTGACTAGTTGACCCATCAAACTTAATCCGTTTTATCATCCCTACCTATCATAGAACCCCACCACAAGTGAAATCAATCACACAGTTCGTGCTTCAAAACCTGCACCATGGACACGAAACCCTCACCCTAACCCTATGCATCCTCCAAGTGTAATCAGGGTAGTCCTTAATGCATTTCATCAGAGTGTACTAAATTGCATCAGAGGCGAGGGACTCGTGGTCGAAATTGGTAATAAAGGCAAGGGAGTCAAGGGTGGTAACGAGCTAGGTCCAATGAGAAAGAAGTTGTCGTTAGAGTCCTAGACGCAGAGGGAGAGAGAGGGGAAGCAAACAAACATTTAGAAGAGGAGGAAGACGATGAACCATTTGTCGTCAAGATTTTCATCCAAGCGAAGGTTTCTGTTAAGGTGGGGGAGGTGGGAGGAGGATGGGTTGAGGAGTGGAAACAAAAGGAATCAGGGCTTGGTTTCAGTGTCGAATCTCTCAAAGTTTTTTAATTTACATTAATATTTATGATTTTGACTTTCTTAAATTTAATAATTATTTTTAAAGTTTTATAACTTACATTAACATTTATATTTTTGTCTTTATTTTTTTATATTTATTTATTATTTATTGATAGTATATTATTTGATTCCTTAAGATCAATGGTCAAAATTGCGGTGTTGCAATGGTGGTAGAAAGAGTGAAACATAATGTTGGTAGTGACGAGGGGTAGTTGGGAGAGTAGAAATGGTGGTGCGAGAAGATGAAGGAAGAAAAGGAAGAAAGCCTTTAATATAAAATGAATGTTGCATAGAGTAATACATAAGAATTGAAATTTATGTGGAACATATGGCTAGTTCAACGTTGGATTCCGTCGGATTCCATATGATCTAACATAAAAAAAAAAAGTTTTCTCTAATTTAAAAAATGTTACCACATTTTTATTACATCATATATATATATATATATATATATATATATATATATATATATATATATATATATATATATATATATACTAATCCAACAAGATAAAACTGTCATAAATATCACATTTTGTACTAGTATTTTCTTTTTCATTATTATTGAACATTCTAAATATTATTATGTCTCTATTTTTATTTTAATATTTTCTTAAATTTTAAACGAGAGATACATAAAGACAAAAAAATTTCTTCAAAAGTGAGAAATAATAAAAAAAGGTAGAGGTGATAAATATATTTCTCAAACATTTAGTTGTGTGCTAATTCGTTTTAATTACTGAATAAACTATTACATAAGATCTTTTATGTATGATATTTTGGTGTTTTTATATTTGCTTAAACTTTAATGTTAATGTGGAGATATAAATTTACATTTATGTCGGATTATCGAATGTAAATTTTGGTAAATTATTATACAACCCGAAGGTAAATTTTCGGCAATTAAATAACAAAAAAAAATCACTTAAAGTTACTTATAATGGTATCAAACAAGTGTAAAAAAAAAATATTAATTTTCAAACATAGACATTCAAAGGGTTAATCTTAGACAAAATAAATGAACTTTAATTATTATTAATAATAAAATGTAGGAAACAACAACCATGACATAGGGTTTATCTCTTAGAACACATTCCTATCAAATGGATGAAGATTTGTCAACGTGAACATCACTGAGAAGAGAGACACTAGGAGCCACAAACGTCTCCTTGTGAAAAGAAGTACCTTAATCGAACACATTTATTAGATTGAAAAATTCAAATTAAAATAAGAATTATAAAAAAATAAAATGAAACCTAATTAATTAATGATGGAAATAAAAGTGAATACTTAATACTATAAGAAAATCATGTATTTCTGACGAATTTTTACCGATGAATTTGTAGCCGTCGGAAAATAATTATTACCGACGGATATAAAATATTTGTGAAATTTGATGTTATTACCGACGAAAATTACCGACGGATATTACTGACGGAAATTACCGACGGAAAATAATTAGTACCTTTACTCGTGTTGCTCTCAATGCAGCAAGCTGAGCAATCGTCTGCTCTTCAATATTCTCTGGTTCTTGGTGCCCATTTTCGACCACATCCCATACTTCTTGGGAACCAAGGAGAGCCTTCATTTGTAGGCTCCAGTTATCATAGCTTACACCTTTTGATAACTTTGGCAGGGGCATGTTGTTAGCTAAGTTGGTCATCTCAAACACTCTCTCTAACACACTCAGACACTCAAGCTCTGATGCCAATTTGTTGACAAACAAGTATCTAAATAAAACACTCTGTATATTATCACTTGATGTGTTTGTAATGAGTGATATATGATCAATTTATGTGTTTGGATATGGCCTCTCAACTACATGCATTTAATACAACTACTACCTTTCAACTACATACATTCAATACAACCACTATCTCTCAACTAATTACATTCAATACAACTACTATCTCTTAACTACTACCTATATAACCACTACCTCTCAACTACATGCATTTAATGTTTACCTAACAGATACATTGCTGCAACAAAAGGCCGCGAACCATTCTCACCCGTTTCAGGTGCGTAATGTCAAGTTGGATTTTCCTCGTTTTGATGGATCCGATGTATTGTAGTGGATCTTCAAGGCCGAGCAATTTTTTTCGTATTACAATACCCCAGATGATCATCGATTAACTATTGCTGCCATACATTTGGACAAGGAAGTCTTACCTTGGTATCAAATAATGACTCGTCATGATTCATTTCATTCATGGGTGGCGTTTATTCGAGCCTTAGAAATGGAGTTTGGTCCTTCTCCATATGAGTGCCCTCGGTCTCATTTGTTTGAGCTAACCCAAACAAGTTTTGTGCATGATTATTATGTTCAATTCACTGCTCTAGCTAATCGTGTGCAAGGTATCACCACTTAAGCTTTGTTAGGCTATTTTATCGGAGGCTTAAAATTGGATATTAGACGGGATGTGATTGCTCCATCAACTCTAATTCGATCTGTTTCCTTGGCCAAGTTATATGAAGAAAAGTACCATTCCAAACCCAAACATTATCAAGCCTACCCAGCAGCCAAAACACAAGCCACAAACACTAGCCTACCTTTAAGCAAAACCATCAAATCCACTAGCTTACCACCCCTCCTTCCTACACCTATTATCGCTCCATTCACAACAACCATAAGAAATACCAATATTAAGAGAATGACCCCTGTTGAGATGCAACTTAGGTGAGAAAAAGGCCTTTGTTATACTTGTGATGAAAATTTTTCCCCCATAGGTGCCCAACAAACAATATTTGCTTCTCCAATTAGAAGATGAGGACTGTGGAGAATTACAACTAGAACCTCCAGATATTGAGCATAACACAAAATTCCATCTGTCCCAAGAGCATCATTTATCTTATAATGCTTTAAAAGGAGCCTCTGGTTTGGGTACAATGAAGTTCCAGAGTTCTGTCAATGGCATCACAGTACAAGTGTTATTAGATAGTGGCTCGAGTGATAATTTTTTACAACCACAAATAGCTCATTGTTTGAAGTTGTCTATTGAGCCAATGCCAAATTTTCAAGTTCTAGTGGGTAATGGAAATGCCTTAGTGGCTGAGGGGATGGTCAAGGACTTGGAAGTCCAAATTCAGGGCCATTCATTGACCTTGCCAGTGTATTTATTACCTGTTATGGGGGTAGACTTAGTGTTGGGGGTTGCATGGTTAGCTACTCTTGGTCCCCACATTTCAAATTATAGTAATCTTACATTGAAGTTTTACTTGGACAACCAATTTGTCACATTGCATGGCGAGCAACCAAATTTACCTGTACAAGCTCAGTTTAATCACATCAGAAGAATGAGTCACACACATGCCATAACTGAGCTATTCACACTGTAATTTCAACAGCTGGACTGTCCGCAAGACCAAGGGTTAGAATTACCTTCTAATATGGATCCAGACTTGGTGGTGTTATTGCACACTTATAGGGTGGTGTTTTCTGTACCTTCTGTGTTGCCTCCTAGTAGGTCATAGAACCATTCTATTCCTTTATTACCAGGATCTGAATCGATGAAAGTCAGGCCATACAGGTATCCACATAGCCAGAAACAACAGATTGAGATTATCGTACACGATATGTTATAGGAAGGGCTTATTGTCCCTAGCAGTAGCCCTTTTTGTTCTCCAAAAATTCTTGTCAAGAAGAAAGATGGAACTTGGCGCTACTGCACTGATTATAGGGCCTTGAACACCATTACAGTTAAGGATAGTTTTCCTATTCCGATTGTTGATGAACTAATTGATGAGTTACATGGAGCTAAACTTTTTTCTAAATTTCCAGATATTGGTGAATGAAGAGGACATGTTCAAAATCGCATTTAGAACCCATCAAGGTCATTACGAGTGGACATTGATGCCATTTGGTCTCACTAATGCGCCTGCAACTTTTCAATGCTTGATGAATGAAATTTTCCAAGGCTTGTTGAGGAAATTTGTTCTTGTTTTTCTATGATATTTTAGTATACATCTCTTCATGGTCTGCTCATTTACTTCATCTTGAGGTTGTCCTGCAGAAATTACAGCAGCATCAACTATTTGCCAAATTGTCTAAATGTTCTTTTAGACTTCAGCAAGTAGATTATTTAGGCCATACTGTTTCCGGCTTAGGGGTGGCGATGGACAAGAGTAAGGTGCAAGATGTTCTGGATTGGCCATGTCCGAAAAACTTGAAGCAATTGAGAGGATTTCTTGGCCTTACTTGCTATTATAGAAGATTCATCAAGCACTATGCAATGGCGACTGCTCCTCTCACTAACCAATTAAAAAAGGACAATTTTAAGTGGGATGATCCTGCAAATGCTTCATTTGTGGCACTAAAAATTGCAGTCGCTCAGGCACCTATTTTGGCTTTACATGATTTTTCTGGACATTTGTTCTAGAAACTAATGCTTCAAGAGTGGGTATCAGTGCAGTTCTCAATCAAGAGCATCATCCTATTGCTTTTTTTTTTCCAAGAAATTGTCTACTTCAATGCAAAAGTAATCTGCCTATATTAGAGAATTTTATGCTATCACAGAAGCTATTGCCAAGTTTCATCACTACCTGCTGGGACATAGATTTGTGATTCGGACGGATCAAAAAAGCTTGAAGAGCTTAACTGAGCAAGCTATTCATACCCCAGAACAACAAAAGTGGTTGCCCAAACTATTGGGATATGACTTTACCATTGAATATAAGCCTGGGAAGGACAATATTGTTGCTGATTCATTGTCTAGATGTTATTATACGACTTGGTCTCAGCCTAACTTACAAATTTTGCCTGCTTTGAGGGAAGTTGTTTCTAAAGATACTCAATTA